AGCAATATCCTTCGATTCCGGTGAAAAGATGCTAAGCTTTCGTCCGTCATATGACGAACATCATCAGAGCAAGGTAACATCGTCACACCAAAATTAAAGCTAACAAGTCATGTGCTACTATAAAACAATAAAAGTAGCATGTTTTAGTAGTGGAATGTTACTTTATTTTCAGGTTCCACTAAGTTACGAACGAAAAAGACAATTAATTCTAGAAGAGTTGGTATTACTAACTTAACAAAAGGAGCTCATTGGTTCAACAACGATAAGTGTCCGCACATGAAGGATCCTAGTTTATGTACGCCGTCCGAGCACTTGTAATGATGGGTCAAACATTTCCGTAAGGAATCTTGACTCGTCTAACCGACTAAACAACAAGCAACTTGGGGGCGCCTGGTGATAACTAGGAATGGTAGGCAAGTATGCTAATGCAGCGCTATTTTCCCAGTTTTCTGCTATGCTGAAAATCGCGCCAAATGTTCTGTAGAAGTATTGAATAATTATGCCTACTGCTTCACAAAAGAGAGCAAAGAAATAGGAACATTGGAAATGATCTAGTGGCCGGCATAGCTCGTGCAATCGCACTTAGCACAAGCGAGCCATCGCATTTTGCCTAAAACGTCGGCAGAACGACAACATAGAAAGTATGATAGATGAAACCCTGAACGACAGCCTCAAAATAATAATAAAAACGCTTAGCTTTCGTGTAGATTGCGTACTGACCTACTACCGTTTTTGAGAAAGTATCAACCCGTCTAATACAATGTATTGCGCTCCACTCCCAATTAACCACTGATGTGCAGTTAAACAAGAATAAGTTATATTAAAAGTGCAACCAAACAGGGCACGAACACGTCTCAAAAGCATGTCGTGACTCCACATTGCCCAAGGGACCGCATAAAGCTCTTAGGGTTAATGCAAGTTGAAGGGAACAACTTTCATCGGCATGGTGATACATCTAAAGGATTGCCTAGTAAATGTGATTGACATTAACATTCTTTGTGAGCTCGTGACCAATATTTTCTGTTATGCTTGCAAAATTACGAAGAATAAGAGAATAAAAGTAATAGTTACAATTCACTCGAGGAGCTAGGCGGTCCGTTATGCAATGGAAAACAGCTCAATCATGGCACTTATATTGACATTAAGTTGCGAGTTTTTTATGAGGACAGGTTAGAATAAATGAATAAAACAGTTATTTATTTGGAAAGACAGTAACTCACATTACTATAACCAGATCTTTTGGGGAACTTGATGGGCACACCCTTTCACGTTGATGTTAATGCTCTTATGCGGTGATGTCTTCGTTAAGGTGGATGTAGATTCATATTAAAGGATAATCTCTCAAAGCATGTTTGGCTTTCATAGTCTTGTAAGCGAATGGGTACCAGATGCTTTATCATTCTACAAAACTATAAAGCCCATCTATTTTATCTCAATGCATGCATCGGCTTAAGCACAACTCATAAGATGAACAGGAACACGATCAGGTCAAATCAGACGTGTCCAGGCCAAAGTTCAACCAGGGTTCAGACCAAAATTAAACATAAAGTAGGAGTACTATTGTTCATATCATTGTGGCAAAATTCAACTACCAGTCTTTCATCACCTTAAACGAAATAGGGTAAACACAACACGTATATACTATTATTTAGCCTACCAACTTCCTGTATGTCGTGAGTATGAGAAAATTCGGCTTCCTCGCTTCCCCGAAACCTTCGCCGTCGGTCTTTCCTCAGCTTGCTGCTGTCATAACTGGTGACCTCGTGTTGATGCCACTCATCCATTTCATGGCCAAACTCACACCCCACGAAAGAAGAGGGTTCTTTGAGGTTGTGGATGGTTGATCGTAGAAGTGACTGGTTAGTACAGCCGGTGGAGACGCCATGCATTGCAGAGGGAGATCGGGCAAGAAGGGAGGGGACGGGAGTATACACAAAGACCGATGACGAGAACTGAGCCGGAAGGGAGGGTGGTGCTGAGAGTGCATGTGGTGGAGCTGATGAAATGAGTAAAGATGAAGAAGAAGAAGAAGAAGAAGAAGAATAAGAGCCAATAGAAGATTTCGAAGATTGAAATGCAGAAGAGGAATAGGAGGAAGATGCGACCGAAGATGCAGAACAGGACCTCGAAGAGGCGGACGAGCTGGTTGGCGAAGTATCTCGGGCAGGTGATGTAATCGATGCTTCAACCAAACCACCTCCGACCCCTCCAGACGTCCCAAAGCCAGTTGGTAGATTAACTCGAGATTCACGATCAGTAGCCTTTTGCATGAGTCGGCGGTATCGTCGTACAGCCGAAATAAATACGGGCTGAAGATAGGGTAAAGTGGGGAAAGAATGGCAGCTTTAGCTATTAACTGTACCGAATGAAAACACAAGATAGACCAGAATCCTATAAGAAGACTGGCAGATACAATATGTAGACATAAGAATATGAAACTTAAAAAAGCTAAAGCCTCATCTGGCCGTCAGAGGATGTAAAATTAACACTGATTGGGAAGTTGCTGCAAAACGTCTCAGTCTATGTGGTGTGATTTATGCCAATCGCATTCTGCATAAGCAATTAAGACCATACTATTTATTGCAGGTTAAGATAAAAGAGGAGAATTTATAGGACGTATACAGAATTAATCTTAGCCCAGTGTTTCTGTTATAACTATGTTAGCAATAATGAGACAGATAAGCTATACGACCAGAAGGTGATACTCCGCTAATGAGGTGACAACATGTCTAGATTTACCCACATATATTATTTAGCTTGTCTTCTGAATACACAAAATAGATTAACAGATGAGTGGAAGGTGTACTATTCTACATATTTTCAACCTTGGCATATCCGGGCTGCTCGCGTTAAACCAGTAGAAATGCCATAAGAGTTGCAGAATTAAGTAAAGGCCAGTGATTCTGATATAATAGCTGAAAAGTGGTTCATCCAAGATTGGTCTGAAAGTCGACTCCAATACACAAACTGAGTTAGGCGAAGAATCTTCTTCCAAGTTGTAAAACAATCAAATAAAATGTATTCACCCTATTTCGTGTAAGGTGATGAAGGACTGGTAGTAGAATTTTACCACGATGATATGAGTTGAGCTGACGTTTCCATTGAATTTCACATAGCCTTGCTTTCCCAAAAGTTGTTC